CTGGAAAGCTCCATCCTTTTGTGGGGCATTTTTTATTGTTTGCACACGTTTTAATGAAGGGCCATCTCTACAGAGGTGAGGGGGGGGGACCTCCCCTTTTACCCCTCACTCTGAAATCTGATTCAGTTTTGGTGGACTGTGGGAGCTCTGCTCAGGGAAAGATGGTGTTTTCTCCACATCATCTCATGTGTAAAGCAGCTGCCGTTAACAGGTGGATGTTTTCAGACAGATGAAATGAAAAACCTGCAAAAACCTGCACCGTTGGGGTATTTATGTAGGGAGGCTCATGCATGAGCGGGCAGCAGAACGCAAACAGCTCTGACCCGCTACGTCATGCCACCTGCCACATTCCTGTGCCTCTAGGATGCTACAGGTAAAAGGCTTGGATCTCTAACCAGAGAGGTGCCATGTAAGGAAAAACAATGCTGCGCTCACTCTGAAACGGCTTTATTCAACGAGGGGGGGGCTTCAGCTTACAGGGGAATGATTCTGAAACAGCGAGAGTGTCACCAAACCTGGAAGATGACGATGAAAGCAGCACAGCAGACGTAAAAGAGGCTGCTACTGGGTTTTATCCACACATTCATGGCATCAGACATGCTCTGCTTTGGTTTTCTTCACTCAGTTACAGAAAAGGCTTGGGACTGATTAGACCCTGATGCCAGATGTTGATGAAGAAATCCCAGTGAGGCAGGCAGAAGCAGTGGTCACAGGAACCAAAGCACGAGAGTGTGTGTGTGTGAGTGTGTGTGTGTGTGAGTGTGTGTTGGATAAGTGAGTGGGTCTTAGGAGGAAGGTGGGTAAGTTTGGGTGATAGTACCAAGCTGTCCGAGGCTGACACCCCACCCCCGAAGTGGAAGGGCGGTTTGAGGGACCTGCCACAAACCAGGAAGTAAGACTTTGAAAACAGACAAGAGAAGAAAGAGGAAGAGGTCACATGGAGGTTAAAACAGACATACACAATACCTTACACCTACCTTTACATATTTGCTGCTTATATCTGTATACTCCACTAGCTTTCTGTTAAGCATACGGATTTCGTAGGACTGACCTACATTTTAAAACATTAAAAAAAACCTGATTAAAATTGAAAAATGGGAAATCAATCAATCAGTAAAGAGGGGCATCGGAGATAGAAACTCAATCAAATTAGAAACCCCCTAAGCCAGATATCAGGGCCAGTCACTGGAGACCTCTGCTCATCTCCATCAGGATCATGAACACGGGGCTCCCGGTCAGTCATTTTAAGATTCGGAAGATTCAAACAGCCAATGAGGGAAAGACTGCATCAGTGCTGCTCCGCTATGAAACTCAAGCACCCCCCCCCCCCCCCCTGGGGGCAGTCAGCTTCTGATCCACAGATAAATAGGCCCAGAGGTTGGATGTTAAAGCAAGCTTGCTTTTAGTACGTTTTTTACTCCAAACAAATTAGCAAGCAAAGTTAAAAAACAACAGCAGAGAGAGGGACAATCAGAAGGAGGTGGAGGATGATTTGAAGGAAAGGGAGAAAGAGGGGGAACAAACTGGAGAGGCAGAAGGGAACGAAGAGAGAGAGAGGAGGGTGAATTGGATTAAAGGAGGAAAATCTGACAAATTATCACATGTTGAAGCTCATGTTGCCTGGATGAACTTAATCATGCTCTAAAATCATTTAGCGGCTTCTGAGTGTCTGTGGGCAGCTACGACTACAGCCCCCCACTGGTCCCATCCTGTGTCAACACATCAATAAAACTGTCATCAACTGGCTCCTACACGTCTCTGGGTTAAAAACTCACGTCTCGTCCTGAAGTCTACCAGTCAGACTACACGGAGAGTTTTTTTTTCTGCTGCAGCCTTTCACTGGTACCGGAAAACAGCCCCAGAGCTGTGCTTCAGAACCGGGACGGACTCAGTCCTGATCAACACAGGTCTGGCTGTCTGCTTCCAGGTGTTGCGCAACAGCTGAGTTAACGAGTAACTGAACCCCAGACTGCAACTGTCCTCTGTAAATCCAGTTAATTTAGCGAGGTTTATCCAAAACCAGACTTATAAATTAACCTGAGAAGCCACCTGGGTGAGCCGTTATGTAACAACATGAGCCTCAGTCCACTCACTGACACCTCCACAGGCAGAGCCAATAGCTACCTTGGTTCAGGTAAGTGAGCGTCTCGTCCTGCTGTTTGACAGCCGGGGAAGTGGCTGCACACAGAATGTACTGGAAAGGGCTCCTCTTGGCTCCATTATCAGCCATTAGTCTGGCTTCTTCGTTCTTCAAGAAAGGTGCCAGAGCCTCTCTGAAAGGGAGCAGAGTGGATGCATGCCATTGTCTTTCACTCTTTGTTATCTTATCAAGTCAGTGTTCAGAGGAACAAAGGTGCAAAAGGTTGACCTTTAAAAAAAAAAGAAAAAAAAGAAAATCCTCTCAGCTACAAATATTTCTTTGCATTGTTTTAATTTCTTTGGAGCAACAACAACCAGAATCAATGCTTCGGGAGACACTTTATGGTAGAGGTTGTTAAAAGAAATGTCAGAGATCACATACCTAGGACTGAGCGTGCTCAGAGAAAATGTGCTTTGCCAAAGTGTTGAGCTGCATGTTAAAGGGTAACGGTGAGGCATTAGCTGGGACTAGGGATGGGGAGCCGGGGCTGTGGGGGGTGCTGGCCGTCCCTCATGGCCGGCCGGCTGTAGGCAGAGCCCGGGCCGGCCGCGTTTACCTGATGTAGGTGGCAGAGGTCTGGTGGTAGGTCTCCGGCTGCGGGTGGCAGAACAGCATGTTTCCCGTGCACAGTCTTCTCTGGTCCCCGGTAAAGCGGCAGCTGCTGGCTTCCCTCAGCTCTCAGGTTCTGGGCCGGCCCGGCCGCCTCTTATATGGCCCCCGTGATGTCATCCGCCCCATTAGCATAGCCAGCCTGACCTTTGAGAGGCGGGCTGAGCAGACACGCCTCCCTGCACAGGACCCACGCCGGCCTCAGCCCAGGCCCCCCTCAGAGCCCACCGGGTCAGCTGCCGGTCCAGCTGCTGGTCCAGGTGCCGGTCCAGGTGCCGGTCCAGCTGCCGGTCCAGGTGCCGGTCCAGCTGCCGGTCCAGACGCAGCGCTGGGAGGGAAATGTGGTGCCGGCCATAAGAAGGGAACAGCGGCACTAACAGGAGCCAGAACCACATCAGCCGGGAGCAGCCTCTCTGGATAAAGCCCGGCGGGCCGGTCAGCTGCAGCTGTTGTCTGGACTCCTCTGAGAAGCAGGTCATCTCCCGGTCTGCCCGGGTTAATGTTTACACACAGCTAAGCACACCGCCGCGCGGCCATGCATGAGCTCGTAAATGGATGGACAACTGGGCAACCTGCACAGGGCTGGGGGGCGGAAAAGGCCCCTGCAGCCATCCGAATGTTGGGAGAGATTAGCAACAACCTGAAACGTGGAGAGAAGAGTTTCTCTGTCTCACTGTTTATTTCTAGAGCAAACAGTTCTTTACATCGTTGCAAATCTATCACTGGTAATGTTAAGAAAAGGAAGCTTCTGTACAGTTTATCAGAGAACCCAATAAAATCAGATCAATCAAACGTATAAATACAGGGCTGAGGGACGGACGGGGGGGGGGGGGGGGGGGGGGGTCCGGCAGAGGGAGCAGGTCCCAGTACCGAGCCACAGATGAGAACACAAGCAGGTCAGGTCTATACATTCATGTACTTAAATAACCACAATTGGCCCCTTCGCAGTAGATCCCCAAAACATTAACCCCGTCATCTAAAACACTAAATAAAACCAGATTCTCAGTATTCATTTGCAAGGAGTGAGCAGGCGAGTTAAGACCAGTTTTAAAATCCGCCTCCCCCCACAGAGCGGCTCAGAGCTGGAGGTACATGCAGCGTCTGAGCACAGGGAGCGGAACTCTGCCCCAACCCCAGCAGAGGAAACAGCAAACGGGGGGTGTCCAGCAGCTGCCCGGCCTCCTGAACCCAAACAGTCTGCTGAAGGCCAACCACAGAATGTTCCAAGTGCACTTCTAGAGCCAAACCGGGCTCCTCACAGCAGCCGCTCGCATGCAAGCCGCTCTGCCACGTGCAAAAAGTCAGAGTCAGCCCTTCTCATCATGTAGTTCTGCCCAGCAGCGCTCACAGGGCCCCTGCCCCTGGAGCAGAGCTGGAGGCTGAGCATGGTCCCCGTCTCAGGGTTTCTGGTCCCCGTCTGGGCAGAGTGGAGCAGGCCCGTAAAGTCCTTCAGCGGGTTTTGGACCTGGACCTCCAGCAGGCTCAGGCGGAGCGCTCCCACCTCCCTAAACCCAGGGCCTGGCACAGTTTGGGGGATTGTCCGTTTCAGCTCCGGCTGTAGTGGAGCTCCTGATTAAGGGCCGTGGTGCTGTGGGGGGGTCAGGAGAAGCCTGTAGGGAGCCCCTCCCTTCAGTCCGTCCAGGTGTGGCTGCTGTGGCGTTTCCTCCCAGAGAGGGCTGCAGAGCTCCCAGCACTTT